AAACCCTAAAACCCTAAAACCCTGCTAAAACCCCCTAAAACCCTAAAACCCTAAAACCCTAAACACCCTAAAACCCTAAAACCCTAAAACCCTAAAACCCTAAAACCCTAAAACCCTAAAACCCTAAAACCCTAAAACCCTAAAACCCTAAAACCCTAAAACCCTAAAACCCTACAACCCTAAAACCCTACAACCCATACAACCCTACAACCCTAAAACCCTAAAACCCTAAAACCCTAAAACCCTAAAACCCTAAAACCCTAAAACCCTAAAACCTAAGCCCCAAACCCAAAAACACACCCTAAACCCAAAAACATACCCAAAAAAAACCACAAAAAACACCCCAAAAAAACCCGGCTCCGTTCTCAATAGCAATAGTCATGACAATTGTAATAAGCACTGGTGGGTCTAAGCGTTTCTTGAAGATTCGCGGCGTGACTTCAGAAACCGTGGTTTCAGTTCTTCAGGTTTGATGTATATGTTTTTTTTCGTTTTCTCGAAGTTTGGTAGGTGGTTTGTGCTGGGATGTTGAAGCAGATGCTTCAGATGTATTCAGTAGATCTTTGGGCAGGAGTCTGTTATTGTGTCTGGGATCTTGTGGTGCTCGACAGGCGAAGTCCAACGCTGCTCGTGCATTGCTGGTGTCGAAGGTCTGGGACGTGGGGTGGGGCAGTAGGCTTGTGATGATGTTTGGAAATATGAACGTCGATCAACATGGCAGACGGAGCAATGGCTGTGTAAAGATGCAGCAGGAGCTGCTGCTGCTGCTGCTGCTGCTGCTGCTGCTGCTGCCGCCTCCACTACTGCTGGTAGTGTTGTTGTTGCTGCGAGATCCAGCATAAGGCCGGAGCCGTCTCTGTGCACAGGAATTGGAGGCATTCGTTGCTGAAGTCTCACAAGGAGCTTCTGATACTGCAAGGCACGCTGGTGACACTGCTGGGTGAAAGTTATCTTTATCATGCCTCTATAAGTTGGCATCTTTGTGGGACAAGCGTCAACATTTGCCTTAGCATCAACCTCCGCACAAAGACCTGCGTTCTGAACCTTCTGCATAGGGCTTTGGTTCAGGATGGAACGTGAATATAGGACTGGCCCAAGGCAATGTAAATGAACAAGAGTTGATTCAACACAGACGGGAAGCCACGGGGAGACGCACACACCTGGCAACTGCCGCGGCCTGAAGCTGGGCAGACTGGCCTCCTGGCACTCTGGCCCTGGGCCCCGAGTCCCCGTATCAAATTCCTGGCGGCGGGGGTGTGTGGGGGAGGGCTGCCAGGCCCGACCATACAGTAGTAGACTTACCAGCAACCACGCCCCTTTTCCTCCATTTTCTTGGACCACACGTGAAGCGCACCTCGCTAACCGTTCCGCACCCGAGCAAACCCCGAGCAAACCCGGAGAAGGATGGCCAGCTCTGACCGTGTACAACCTCAGCCATGGTCGGAGGATGTTTTGCAGAAGAGACTTGGACGAGTGGAAGCCGGCAAGGATGAGATTACTGGCTTGGCAATCCAAGAGCGAACCCTGCTCAGCTATCTGAAACCAAGTAATTTTTGTAAACACAGTCGCCTTACATCCGATGTAGAGAAGCCTGCTGAGAATCAGCCCAGAACAAGAGCCCCCCGGCGGCTACCCTTGCAGCCGGTAACGAATTCACCCAGGCTTCTGCGCAACCTCCTTCAGATCCTTGTCTTCAGTGATGGGCAGTGTGCGAAGGCTCCTAAACCACGCAAAGCCCTAAGTTCTGTATTGCTTCGGCTTCCCCAGATTTCCCGAAGCTGTTCCAGGCATCGGCTGCATCTTGGCTGTCACAACAAACGACACTGGATGTACCGGTTAGTTGAGTACAGTCAGCACATCATCGGAGTACCGTGAGCAGGAGCGAGAAAACATAAGAGCATGATTGCCATGACTGAGCATCAGCTTCTGGTCTGGGGCCGGGGCTGCACATCAGAGCCGGCAAACCCGCGAGAGCGCTTCCGAACAATAAACGCAGAACATCAAAACACCGGTTCGAGTCTATTGATTGCACCATGACATGACAAGGAGGAATCCCAGGAAAGATGACATCATCTATGCCTTTGAGGCTGCTTCATCAGTTTGAAATTGAGCTGTGACCCGTCCCCGCCCCGTCCGCTCCCCAAGAGACACAGCAGGAGTCGGAGGAGGGCACCGTCTGCTCCGTGCGCGTCCCCATTCTCGAGCGCTTGCCGGCCTGCAAAGGAAAGCCAGCCCCGTCCAGGCACGAATGGCTCATGTTCAGACATTCGACTGGACACATCTGGACACACCTGCCATGATCCTTTATGGCAGTGGATTCCAGTTTTTTTCGTGCTCTCGCAATGTGCCGCAGGAAGAAGGCGAAACAGTACGCTGCAGACGAACTGGTAAGCTGCATCTTAAAAACTTGACGTGAACGCCATGAACGCCTTCGGCGGCATGGTTCCATTGGTGCGCGAAGGATGCGAGGCAGACTTCGGGGGATCTAAACAATTCTTCTTCGCAGCAGCTTAGTATCTGATCTTCGTGGATGGCCAAGCTGTCACATGCTGGCACAGCATCTCAGGTTCGGATGGTTCGCAGAAGGTGCAGACGCTGCATGCGCTGTAGCTGTGCCAGAAAAAAGCAGTGCTTGGCTGTTGCCGGACTATCCTCTTAAAACTTGATCAGCATCTTGCCACCTTGTGACCTTGTGGTAAATGGTTTCAGTAGCTGCAGCCGTTGCCGTCGCAGGTGCCCTGACGCGGGAACTTCGCCCACGTTGCTCCGAGCTCTTGTAGAGCCTCTTGGTTTGAAGTCTCACGTTGGACATCATGCTGCATTGTGGAGTTGATGCAGAAAGAGGGGCATTCGTGCAGGCTGATCGACAACAGTGTCGATGACGTTCGATGACCAATCGCACTAGTGAGACGCTGGCGACGCGGTGCGGTGGTGTGCGTGAAAGTGCCTCCGTGAGTGAGGTTGATCTGCGGATGCAAGATAATGAAGTTCCGGTAATGTGAGCCGTGAGCTCGGGTCTGAGTTTATAAGTGGCCTTTCAGAGAACAAATTCTTAGTAGCAAAATGAAATCCACACAGACAGCCCAAGCCTGGGAAGGTCCAGGAAGGCCCTGACCACTCCTTGGCCCATGCATCAGGTGAGCCAGCTGCTAAGGGAGTGAGCCTAGGCGGAACAGGGGTCGTCACAAAGAATGGGACTGGACGTATAGCCTTGCACTCATGCCCACAAGCAACGTGTCGAACGAGCGTCACTTGACAGATTCAAGCCATGTGCATGGAAGAGCATCGTTTTGGACAATGCACCGCTTTTTTCGCTAATGACTCTTTCTTGTGTTGCAATGGCCAAGCTGGATTGAGGGAGATGCTAGCCACCACCGCAGCTCCAATTTGACCGAAGCGCTACGACCGGGCATGGTCCGAGCAAAAGCATTGTTGTACATGCGTTTACACTTCTCATCTACTAAGGGATGCAAACTTAACACAGACTCCCCTGCACGCACACAGAGAGAGAGAGATATATGCTCACGCCCCCCCCCATGATCCACGTTTCTGCTTCGAAACAGATGGATCTTGGGAGGAGAGGGGGCTATGAGCTAGCGACAAAAACACCGACAGGGCCGATAAAAACCTATATCATTTCAAGTCAGGCAGGTCATTTACATCAACAAGGTAGAAAAATACCGAAAAAATCATGCTTTTTTAGAAAACTCGAGCCGGCTCGAATTTTCCAAAAACAACTGACACAGTAGATTGCCGAAACACGACCAGGCTCGAATTTTCCAAAAAAAACCTAAATTTCAGGATCTATGGCTCCAGCAGCCCGGTAGATCCTGAAAGTTAGGTTTTTTTTGGAAAATTCGAGCCTGCTCGAGTTTCTGGGACCTAAAGCTTCAAGAATTTTAGGAAAATTCGAGCCGGCTCGAATTTTCCAAAAAAAACTGACACAGTAGATTGCCGAAACACGACCAGGCTCGAATTTTCCAAAAAAAACCTAAATTTCAGGATCTATGGCTCCAGCAGCCCGGTAGATCCTGAAAGTTAGGTTTTTTTTTGGAAAATTCGAGCCTGCTCGAGTTTCTGGGACCTAAAGCTTCAAGAATTTTAGGAAAATTCGAGCCGGCTCGAATTTTCCAAAAAAAACTGACACAGTAGATTGCCGAAACACGACCAGGCTCGAATTTTCCCAAAAAAAACCTAAATTTCAGGATCTATGGCTCCAGCAGCCCGGTAGATCCTGAAAGTTCGGTTTTTTTTGGAAAATTCGAGCCTGCTCGAGTTTTCGAGACCTGGAGCTTCAAGAATTTTCGGAAAATTCGAGCCGGCTCGAGTTTTCTAAAAAAATGCTGAAACCATAGCTGTGTGACCCCAAGGCCTCATAGATGACATAATTTAGGTTTTTTTTTGAAAATTCGAGCCTGCTCGAGTTTTCGAGACCTGGAGCTTCAAGAATTTTCGGAAAATTCGAGCCGGCTCGAATTTTCTAAAAAATATGCTGAAACCATGGCTGTGTGACCCCAAGGTCTCATAGATGACAGAATGTAGGTTTTTTTTGGAAAATTCGAGCCTGCTCGAGTTGTGGTGACCTGGTGCCTGGAGATTTTTCGGAAAATTCGAGCCGGCTCGAGTTTTCCCGAAATCTCTTGATATTCTGACTGCGGTAATTGATACAATTCGTAGCATTAGTTACCAATTCTATTTCAATTGGTAAGTTTCCCATATTTTTTGACGGCAAATATCTAACTTGTGAGAAGAGGCCACGCAATGGTTTAAATCCAACAATCTTTTTGGTCTTAAACCCTTGACAATTAACATAAGAACTACCTTTGTGTCAAAGAAAACTTCAACTATCAATGAGGATATCTGCGGGACCAAAAGTTTCCATGATATATAAAAAGCATAGATAATTTGATTACATATACATACTCCTTCAACTTGTATTCAATCAAGTAATTCAAAACTATATGAAGTGTCTTACTATTATTCTTCTTCCTACCTTTCACCTGCTTAACTGCTTCATCTACTTAATTATTCTCAACTAACTTTCTTATCTCTTCGTAAGCATGTTGTTTAAATTGCTTCTCTATCTTCGATGTCTCTATTTGTTCGTATGTTGTTGCTTTCTTATGAAATGATTATGGCATCAAACTGTTGTTAAAAACTCTTCTTCGGTTATAGGTAGATGTCCTGCTTTGTTTTGAATATTGCCTATATCTTCATAAGAATGTTTTTGTAGAGGGTCTAATGTTGATTTCTTTGATGTTATACTTCCTTTTTCAAACATACTAACGGGATCTTCTACTTTCCGTATTCATATGTTTTGTCCCAGTGTCTTCTGGTCGTTGTCCTGATACATAAGGAGAACCATAGCTACGACTTCTGAATACATTCCCATAATCATTGTTTATTTGTTGTCCCGATGCTGAACCTAAACTGTGACTTACAATACCAGAAATTCCAGTTTCTTCTTTTCTTTAACCGTCTATTTCAATAAAACCATCTTGAATGAACTTATCTACGTCTTTATAACACTGAGTCAGTTGCGTCTTATATAAAGGAAGGTTTCAATCACCATAAACATCTCTACAGTTTTTAGTCCCAGCAATGTATAAAATAGAACCATTTTTGATATATCCCGTCAGGATTCTCATACGCTAATTTAAGTCCTTGCGTGTCCGTTAAAAATGTCTCTGTCTTTGCGAATTCGTCTCTAACTTCATTATGTAGTCTGCTTCTTGTGTTAGGTGCTTTATTTGAAACCCCTTCATCTCTTCTTTTATGTTCATGCATTACACAATGGTATATAAGGTAATATTTATCTAATCAATGAATATTGTTGAAGTTCAAGAAGGTGTATATTGGAAGCTACTATAGAGTGAATAACAGAGATGAGCAAACCACACAACACCAAATCCAGAAACGGATTCTGTTTGTAGATTTCTGTTGTTTAAAAGTGTAGATAATCAATAGCAAGTTGTAGCTTCAGACATGGCAAGACACGAAAGTATCGTAAATACCGGTGTTTTTTCACTTCAACCATATGTGCAAATAAGCACAGGTGCAGAAGGACAAGCAAGAAAAGGATACACATGGATCATGGGGGGGGGGGTGTGACCAGATATATATATATATATATAGAGACACATATGTACATATATATTCCTGTATAGATGCATATGGCATATGCATACCTTCGAGATTTGCCATCTGCCCAGGTGGCAGCAAAACAGGACAATGCTCCGTGACATGCCGTGAAGGCCACCGAGCCGGAAGCAGCTACCAGTCGAGCTTTATTGCAGCTCTTTGCTGAGAGACACGGCAGTGCATCCCGACAGCACGCAATACCTTGATACCAGTGTGCAGCTTGTGGCTAGCAGACGCTGACAGAGGAGGAACAAATCGCGTTTAAGCACATGAAAAAGAGTGCAAGCAAGGTGAAAGCACAGCAACTTTGAAAGATCATGAAACATCATATTCTCTTTGTGCTGGCTGCGATGAGTCATGCTAGCTGGCGCTTTGTGACCATATTGATAGCGAAGCTCGGGCGAATCTGGAGCCATGGTGGATATTGTGCCGGGTCAGTACTCGCCCATGGGCAGATCAACTGAGCGCAGCTTGCGGAGACTGCGCACACAGGTCGAGGCGCACGACTCCGCGTTGTCGCCCAAAGGGAAGGTGGAGGAGGAACCGATGGATCCAAAGGCCAAGGAGACTTATGGAGACCAGTGAGTTGGGTCTAAGTTTATGTTTTGTCTTCTGGTACGTCCAAAAGTTCGGTGTTGTCGATGTGTATCCTTGTAAGGTGTCGAAAGGGCAGAGCAAGTGAGTTGTTTGACCAATGAGGAGTCTCCGAAGGCTGATAAAGTGGATCTCGACCGCTTCCGCTTGCGCAGCCAAAAAAGCTTTGGTCAATCAACCACACAGCTCTCCAACACTTTGAACACAACCCTTACCACCATGGCTTCAACGAGCGATCTTGAGACTACGGCATCTTCCATAGATGTGGCAGAGCCAGTGAGCACACCGAAGCCCAAGCTGTCTCCCTCCTTTAGCAACCCATGCAGCAGATAGGATTGTTGTGGATATGATGGAGGGTTGTGTCTCACAAAACGCCCAGAGCAAATTGGAGAGGCTTGGAGGGTTTGGGATGTCCACAGAATCTGAGGCGCTGTTGGTCTGGACGAAGGTCATCTTTGTGAAGTCACAAGAGCGAAGTACAATCGCTTTATGCACCCTGATGGACAAACAAACCCAGAAGCAGGTGCCCTCAGTAGGGGTCTCTGCCGCGTGACTTGGGGTTTTCTCCATGAAAGAGCAAGTTTGCAATTTGTGAGTCGTGCAAGAACTATGGCATGTAGGAAGCGCTCCTTGATGCTGTTTCAGCAGCAGTGATGCTGCTTTCCAGTGGGACGTCAGAGCAGATTTCAACCGTTTGAGGTGATTGTCATTGGTTCTTGAAACGGTGCCTTCTAATCGTCTGGCCACCTTGAGAGGCCACTACCGCGTGAATGACTCCTGCCTTTGGCTTCGATCGCCTCAATGGGACATAGGTCAGAGGATTCCACATGAGGCACGTCAAGTGCGGCCTCGTGACACGGGCACTTGAGTGGCGTTGGGATCGTTTTGGATGGGTGGTGCGCCTGGTAAGCTATCATGCTATCCAGGGCATGCAACTATCCTTTGTTCTTTGTCTGCCGGGCTTACAAGATTCCCCCCCAATTTCGTCCCCGCTTCAACTAGTTTGCAGCGCATACCTCGGACACAGCACAGCTGAGGCATGGAGCTTGGCGAGGTCTACAACGGTGACTTTGCCTGGCTAAAGCTTCACCGTTCTGACTACGTTGAATACATGAGAGCCCCCCCCAAAGGCAATCAAAAGAGCGGGATGCTGTTTAATCGAGATGTCTAGAATTTCCACAGGTTTTCCGCTTCCTATCTCACCTCAGTTTTTGTGTGAATCTTCTCCTCATGGTTCGATCTAGAAGGGCTATTTCCTTGCGGCTTGGTCCAGAAATTGAATTGTATTTGACTGACACGAATAGTCTCTCCACTATGACTCTACAGCCAAAAGACTTTCGGCTGTAGCCATGAAAATGTGTGAATATCTGGGGAAGCTTGGAGTTAGATGTGCCAGCGTGCCAATGGTGCTTCGGTAGGCTGCAGCATCGCTGTCTCCAGGCTTTGCCTTGGGCTTGGCTGCGCCGGGTCGTTTGGAGCCGATGAGCGTGTCGCCTGAGCGACCACACGTGTCCAAATTGTGCACCCACCCCATGACCTTTGCGCCAGAGCACCAAAAGACAGCGACTGGGCAGGCACAGCAATGTTACAGCAATTAATCCGTAACCTGTCTTGCAACCTGTGCGAGCCACCACTGGCCATACGTATTTGATTAGAAAATAAGATTCGCACAGCCCAAGCAACACGTAAACGCCAAGCTGCAGAGAAGCTCAAGGCAGACTGAGAGCGGTGTCTCAAACGGAACGGTCCTCTGTTGTCCATGGTGTGCCAGCGTCCTTGCCTCAGGAGTGGGCGAAGCTGGATGCATCCTCATCCGGGTTCCACCGATATCCAGAAACTCATCGGAAAAGAGAGCAACTACCACCGGGATTGGGCTGGAAAGCTCGCTGGAATGCTGTATTTGTTGAAGGGCAGAACGAATTTTTCATGATGGCAACGAAACAGCTCAGGCCAGAGTTTGATTGAACTTCTGATGCAGCCACGCCAGCTTCCTGTGCAATGTTTGACTTGAGGATTGGGACTTCAAGAAGCACATGAACAGCCATGACTTCAACTTGAAAATGAGCTTCCCGACCCTCAGATTGATATGTGGAGGAATCAAGAATGTAAACCAAGTTCGTATCAGAGCAACCTGCGAGGCATTTTGAGCCTGGAAAATACGATGTTGAGCCCAAGGGCAGAAGCATCGCGGGCTTACCTTTCTCCAAGGCCATGTGCCACGTTTGTACAAGATGTTTGGACATCCGCGCCAGCACTGCAATGTTTTGCTGCGACCATAGCCTCACAGTTAACCGATGCTTCAGACGGTAGCTGCTTTGACTCTGGCTACAAGCCTTCATCGTGGGAAACAGTAAGGAGAAGAAAGTCCGGTAGATGCAGTAGATATAATCCCTCCTTAGCTCTCCTACCTCTCCTTCGCATTTTTGATGGTTGCTAGGGTGTCTTATTCCTTGGGAGGTCATGTCCCGTGCACAGTCTGCGGGTGAAGTGAAGACCGGCATCTGCCCAAGGACCAGGCAATTCGACACGTGTACAATGTCATCAGTCGTTGTCCAATTCTAGACCGACGGCTCAAGACCGCTATAGGACCACCCCTCTCAGAGATTCCCCTTTCGCTGTTCGGCTGCGGAGGCTTGTGCCAGACCGCTCCAACTTTCGGGGGTGTTCCGTTGCGGTGCGACGGAAGACTTGCATCCAAGACTTCTCCCAGGAGCCTCAGTATAGCCTCAGTTACCTTAGTTACCTTGGTTGAACTTGGCAGGCGGATGACGTACTGGTGAAAGTGCCTTGAACATGGTGTGGAACAAAGTGCGGTCCACTGGAATTTGCTGTCTGAGCACTGCCTCAGGACCTTGATAGACCTCCTCTGTTGGCCACCAAAGGGGCTTACCACGACGAGGAGACAAGGGTTGACTCACATCATGGACTGTCAGAACTTGTCTTCGTGCCAGCAGCCCGAGGGAGTTGGCCATTTAGGTTGTGTCAGGTTTCAACGTTAAGGGAACTAGAACTCAACACGAAGTTGCCGCACAGTCAGAAAGCAGTGCAAAAGACTTGTCAAGATGTGTCAGTTGTCAAGCCATCAAGCCAGGACGATCCAGAAGCCACCCAGAAGGCTGGAATCTTTTCTACAAGAACAAGTGTGCATGTTTCGTGTTGGTTTGCACACCTTTGAGCGACTTTGAATGTTTGAATGCGGCAGAACCAGGCCATTTCCAAGCACTTTTGCTTACTCTGTCACAGCCCCTGAGGATATGGAACTCCTGTTTAACCCAGTGCTGTGCTGAACCAAACTACATGATGTGCTGCTACAAGCCGAGAAAGCCTGTTGAAGGTTTGCATATGGGCAGTTCGGCAGAGCGCTTAGGGGCTTTTGGCTTTTGTTTGGGCTAGGGTCGGAACGAGTCCAAATGCTGGCTGGGGGCATTTTCGTGTCCGGCAAGTCAGGCAGGTCAGAGCAAGGACTCAATTTCTAGAACTCGTGAGATTTGGGCGATTTCGGCTCGGTGGCGGTAGGGGGTGCACGCGAGGGGATCAGAGGTGGAGAAGCATCCAGAATCACCCACGCTCGACGGTCGGGGCCGAAGCGAATCTTTTGTGTTGACCAGACAGGTGATGGACTGGCAGATGTCCTTTGATGCAAGCTCTGCTGACAAGCTGACTGTCTCACGATGTTCCACTCCGTCGATGAAGGCACGGCTGCCGTGCACAGGTTGCTGCAACTCAGCTCCATGTCGACCTTAACCTAGCTTTTGGACTGAACATCTTGACTGACTCGGGTTTCGGGATGGCTGTGAGAAATTCGGCAAAGCGACAGTGGGGCCTGTGAAGCTGAAGCCTGCTGAGTCACCAAAGGCATGTTTCTTAGTTTTCTCCGTAGTCACTTATTGTCCAAGAAGACCCTTGCCGGCTTCGCCGGAGCAGGCTCTGGAAGCAACGAGTTTCCAGCAGCTATGCCGATATCCCCGGTAGACAGGAGCCATCGGCTAGGCCACGTGATTTGCCAGCCGCATCGAACAGGGCAACGATTTGGACGACGCCGAGATGGCGCACGTCTTGCTCATGACGCCAAACGGCCCCATGCTCTGGTGAGTCCTACACAGCGTTCGCGCTGCTCGCGGTGTTCGCGCTGTTCGCAATTTCAAGCAGTTCGCATGTTCGCGCTGCTTCGCAGTGTTCGCGCTTGTTCGCTCTAGTTCGGTCTTGTTGGCTCTTGTTCGCAGTGTCTCGCGCTGTTCGCGGTGTTCCTGCTGTTCGCGCTGTGCGCACTGTGTTCAAACCCTGTTCAGAGTGTTCGCGATGTTCGTGTTGTTCGCAGTGTTCGCACTGTCCGCGCTGTTCGCGCGGTTAACGCGCTGTTCGCGCTTCTACGGTTCGCTGTTCGCTGTTCGCACTGTTTGCGGTGTTCACGGCGTCGCAGGTGTTGTTGCGCTGTTCGCGCTCTGTTCGCGCTCTGTTCGCGCTCTGTTCGCGCTGTTCGTGCTGTTCTCGCTGATGTCGCTGTTTGCGCTCGCTTTTCGCGTTGTTCGCGCTATTTCGCGCTCGCTTTTCGCGCTGTTCGCGTGGCGCTATGATGTTCATGCCACCACTTTACCTGCACTCCCACACAGAGAACGTTACCTACAAAATCCACAAAGTGGTTTCTGTGCGTCTACAACACGCATGATTCCCAACGAGGCTCTGAAGCCCACCGAGTGTGGCTACCAAAGAGTGAGCGATTGCTGCTGAGAATTGTTACAAGTTTTCTTCAAGTAACTAGAGGAGTCCTGCAGCTCGCGACTCCATGAGCCATGTCTTGTCATGCATGGCATTGGGTGGCCTCGACCCCACTCGGGCCGCCTTGATGGCTGGTTGCCCGCCAGGCCTCTTTGACACGAGATGGTGCTCTGCGAGGTGCACGAATCTTGGCTTCCGATCCGGGGCTCCAACGATCCCTGGGTATCGGCACCTCGGCACCTGAGGCTGTACAACATCAGAATGTATTGAGCAAAGCATGGTAGGGGCTGGTTTCAACAGCGGTATGAGACAGTGGAAGTTTGCTCGTCATGGTTGGGGAGTTTGTTCATGTTTCGGTCGTGTTTCTGCGCTGTGGCATCCAGGCATCCTCAATGCTGAGTCTCGCACTGGGGATGAGCTGCATGACGAGTGGCGGTGGCAGCGATCGGATATGGCGCTGGCCTTCGATCAGATGTCGGGCAGGCCGATCGAGCGCTTCAAAGCCTGAAGAATATTGTTAACCAGCATTCAGTTTCACGGGTTTCAAGCGTTCAGCTCCTTAAACTTTGTTGCTCCAGCTTTGCTTTGATTTTAGATTTGTTTTTGAGGTCTGTCCTGAAGCTTTCCAGACCAGCTGAAAGCGCACCTAGGAAAGACCAGCTGTTGTCGTGCATCTGAAGCCCATGCTGCTTATCATCATCAGCAAGTGTTCAGTTTGAATGCAACAACCCAATCTTCCTGCAAGGACTTGGCGGCCTCCTTGGCAGTACTGTAACCGCTCACTACCATGCCCATGCACTCGCTCAATGCTGTTAGACTGGAGGAGAACGCATGGATGTTTTGGGTGAACTTGCCGCTGAATGGGGCACTGGATTTGCATGCAATCTGGTCCAACTTCTGAATACTTGTCCACTCAATGGTCCAATCAGCATCCCTATATTTGATCTTTTCAAAGCGATCGGCACGTGACGGATCTCCATATCTGCGTTCCTTCCAATCTAACGATCCTCATTTCTGTACTGTTTCAGTAAATAAAGTAATGTGCTCCTTGTGCCGTCAACTTCTGGTATGGTTGCCACGTTGACCAGCTATCTGATGCTTTCTGATTTCAATCTTTATATGGCAGTGCTATATTGGTGCTATGCGACACCGCAAGAATGGCTCGGCTTTCCAAAGCGACACGCAGCGTGATCTGGCTCTCGACCGACATCTTTCGTGAAGTTCTGCCTTTATGCAACCATCTTTGGCGGGCAGTTTCCTTGACTCTCTTCAATGGTTGCTGTTTTCAGGGTTCTCCTTATGAAGTCTATTGATGACTGTTGTTCCCTGCAAATTTGGGTGCTGATTCCAATTTTCCATGTTTCCCTGCTATCATACTTGTTTCTCGCCACCGGAGTCTGCAAAGGACGTTTGCTTTGAAGAAGTGGTTGTTACTTTTGAAGTACGCAGAAACTCGGAGGGTCTCTTTAAACGTTTCAAGCATCAGCACAAGTCGGTCAGACTGTGCCCCTTTGGCGCAGGTACAGCGCCCCGTCAACTTTGACAACACGAGTGCACGGGTCCCTTCGGCGGCCAAAAGAAGAGGCCCCACCGGGAACAATATAGCAACCATATGGAACCAAATGAAGCATGAAGCAAAGACGCAGAATTTGCTGTTGCAGCCAGGTGACCTTTAGCTTTAAGAGGACGGCGCCTCTTGGCTTTCCAATCCTTTGATCTAAAGGTCGACAGGAGTGTTTAAACGTTTGCTTATCACACGCGACACGCACCTAGCGAATCCTAGCGACTAGTATCCACAGGAAAAGCAGAGCCTTTCTCTCAAGGTGTCCAGGCTTCACGAGTGGCTCCTCTGTCCAGAAGATCTTATCCGCACGGCCCATCTCCAATGAGCTGGAACCGGAACCTTGTTGAAAGGCACCACACCCAAGATCTGAAGAGCTGACCGTCTGCCGACTTTCTGCGTGAAAGAGATATTCCTTGGAAATTGTCCAGTTCTCAGAGGCCTCTTTTTTTGAGGCGCAGTTTCCGCACTGCCTGCTAGTCTACTAGTGTGCCATGACACTATACAGATGTGCCATAAGCAGCGTTGTCAAACATTTAGTGGAGCCAACTGCATACCACATAACTGGATGCGGCCTGGTTTTCCAGCGATTCATGGTTTGCCTTTAAATGCCTTGAAGGACTGCAGAGCAGAGTTGCATTTCGGGGCAAACACATTTACATCGCCAGCACCTCTGTCCACTCGAAGAGTTGCAGGAGCTGCCGTCATGCCGCAAAAAGGGTTTCTGCTCGAGCTGCACCACCACTTCGCTCGCTTTGTTTGGAGTGGGCTTGTTGTTGGAACTAGGGTAAGAATGCCAAGTAATCCCCTTCGCTCGCAACAAACTCTCCCCTTCCACCGCCCCGCTGCCCTCCCACAAAGCAAGACCTCTAGGACATCACAGGCGATGAAAGAGGGCATTCTGTTAGGGAATGGCTTCAGGAGGAATGTGCTCGTGATTCTCGGGTGTGAGGCAGAGATGCTGTCCACGCAGTGGCGAAGGCAAGCTGAGCGGCATGCGCCGGGGATAAGGCTAGCTTCAGAGTTCCCAGCTACATTCTTCCATCTGTCTGCCTCTGACTGCACGGGTTCTTGCTTCTTGGGGTGGATGTTGCGGCACTTCCTGGACGCAGAGGTTCTCTGAGCAACGCATCCGACGAATGAGTAATGAGTTGGCAGGCTCGAGTCAGGGGCTTCGGCCAGCCAGGCGTCATGGCTCCTGCTGGATGGGACCCCGAGCTTTATGACGCCTTGCTGCGAACGCTGAAAGAAGAGCTTCGAACGGAGTTTCAGGCTGAGAAAGCCGTGCTGCTAGGGCTGAGAGAAGAGCTTCGCAGGGGTTTTCAGGCTGAAACAGCCTATGCGATTGCGCAGTGCATGGCACGAGTGGAGGAATTAAGGTATGAAATCAGGCAGCAGAAAGATCATACGTTTGATGCTTGTCCTGAGCAGATTGTAAACATGCCTGAGGCTATAGGTGAGAAGGAAGCCCCCAACCCAGACTTGCTGCACACCGAAAAAGGGCCGAAAGAGCCAGTTCCCCTCGGCGAGTCGACGTGGAACGCATTGCTGGTCATTGGCCTTGCTGGGGCTGGATGGTTCGACACCATCGTCGCGAGTGGCGTTGTCATCGCAAGCCCTCTGATGCAGCTTGCATTTACCATTGTGCTTGTCACAAGAGATTTCCTGGGAGAGCCCTTGACGGCTGAGATTGGCCCGGCACAAAGATGGAGAATGGGGGCCGCGCATGACCACAAGCATGTGGATCTTGCGGACACAAGTCTTGTGTCGCGTGTGTGCAACGGAGATTCGTCCCTGATCATGTCCAACAAGCAAGCCGACCTGATTGGGCAGGTAAATGCATATCTTGGCCTGGAAGATTCTCAGTTGACCCCTGATGGCCTGTCCCCTGGGACCGTCCTTTGTGTTCTCTGCATTTTCTGGTGGTGCCTCTATCTTGGCAGGGAGCTGCGGTCAATCCTTTCATCCGTCGAGGCTCTGTGGTATGTGCCACATGGCCCCACTGAGCTTGTTGACGGCACGGTCCTTTCCTTGTCAACGCCACGGCGTTGCTTCTTCTACAGCGTTCGGCTTTCAAAGGCTGCAATCTCCTGCATGTTGCTGGTCGCTGGCATTCTATGGATTGCAAGCACTACGTCTGTCAGGCGTCTTATGCTGCATGCTGTGGTCTTGAAAAACCTCCTAGAGCTGGACACCATTTTTTATGGAGCTTTCATGCCCATGAAATTCCAGGTCAGCATCAAGAAGCTCAAGCCCTTGCACTTCCGCAACTCTGTATGGCGAAGCCAGATAGAGTGCTTTCTAGTGGTGCTGCTTTTCGCCGTGGCAATGATTTTGACATGGTCCCAGCTGGTTGCCCCACTCTCTACCACCATGGAAAACTTGAAGCGCGAGTATTGTGCTGGCAACCAAGATTTTGTGGTCGGCATAAACGATCATCACGGTGTGGCCGTTGTGCGGCCAACCGTGCACTTTTCTGAGGATCTGCTGCCAGGTTTTGTTGCACAAGAAGTGCACGAGTATGCTTTGGCAAGTCCATCGCGTCAGAGCCAGCTCCTTGTAGTCAACAACATACGCGACTTCGAGAGGACGCGTTTGGAGACGGTGGCCACTTCCACGACGCAGTCATTACAGTGTGAGGATTTTGACAAGTGGTTCCTCTGGGGCCAGGGAGATGCGATTCCTGACAGATACGCGCCGTACTGGTGGGCAGCAGCCACCGGCCTAGGATTGCCAAGCAACAGTACCTGTGCGGATATGGCTGCCCATTGCCTCGGTCCGCATTCGCAGCTCCTGCGCATGGTCTGCAGTGTTACGTGCGGGTGCGTGGAACCTTCGGCCAATCCGATGTACATGGTTCAGGCCCAAGGATGCTTGCAGCAATGTCGCGATGAAGTGCAGTTCTGGACAGATGAGATGCCCTGCGAAGATGTAGCGACAGACTCTGTGGCTTGGCAGGCCTTCTGGGATTTTTATCCTTCAGCTATGGAGGCATTCTATGGGGCCAGCCAGGCGCAGAGGTCTCAGCTTCAAGCATTAGCCGAAAACATGAAGCAGGCCGGCTGCAGTGAGCTGGATTTTGAGCTCGAGCCAACTGAAATCCTCTCAGATGTTCGTTTCTGCGATGGACATCCTCAGCTTTTCGCGCCTTTGAGCCAGTTTTGTCCGGCGACATGCTGTACAGGCAACAGTCCTTCTTGCCCATCCAGCTGCAGTGCGTAGAGCAGTGTCACGATTTTTTTCTAGCTGGGGAGGCTTGATGGACCTCTTCCGATCGGATCTCTGAGCTGCATGGCCCCAAAAGCACCAAAAGCAAGTAGAAGGAGGCCTGCAACGAGCACGCTGCACCCTCAACGTGCTGATCGGATGTTTAAGCAAGAAGGCGCCGAAGACTTGGCACTGGCCCGTCTGCCCAGCAGTTGGACCTTGTTTTCTTCGCATCAAGCCATTCCGCCTCTCCTTTTAGAAATGTTTCAGAATACAGTGTTTTGCAAGAGGTTCTTTGTAGGGGAGGATGGCTGAGCCTTCGAAACTCTTTCGTCTTTAGTATGTCTTTAGTTCATTAGATGTATATAATTTCCAGAGGGCAGCAGCCCTAGTACACGCAGCCATATCCAAGCATGACCGATGCTTGGTGGGCGTGGGGACGGTAGGAAGGGATAGGGATGGCATGAGGAGCCACAGGCGTTCTTCAACAGCATGTCCTGAAGTTCCCGGCTTGGTATAAATCAGGTTCTGATCAGGGTTGAACACGCAACTGAAGGCAAGGCATCCGTACACGGCGATGACACGTGCTACAGCAAAGACATTTGGTATGCGCATTGCTGATAAATACAGAGTGAGCCAAAACACCGAAGTTCTGCCTGTGTAGCAGTTATAGGTCCCAGCGGACGGTTACGGAGATACCTGGACCGTCTCGATTTTGCAGGCACTCAGCATCCTGCGGAGTGCTTCAGAAGGATCTCAGCTACTAGCACGGTCGCATGGCAATGCTGCTGCGGGATGGAAGGTGCGGGAAGGAGGAAAATTGGATGCAAGCAGGCCAAGGTAAACTTGGTTTTAAAGACACATCCGCTGCACGAGGATAAATGGCCGCAGCAGGTAGGCTTCTGTGGGTGGCCCCCCAAATTTGAGATGCCACTTGGCAGGTTTTGCAATCTCCTCTCTTCCGCTACTGTCTGCTTGTGCAGCAGGCTCGGACATCGAGATCGTCAGTGGCAGTGTCAGTTTCCAGGCCATTCCGATGCAACAAAGTTTCTGTAGCGAGCCGCTAAGTTGCCCTCTAGTCTGGGATACTCCTCTAGACTGTCCTCTTGCCTGCATCCCAAAACAACTGTGCGCCCGTGTGCTAGCAGCTGACAGCAGGGTTGTTTCGATCGGGTTTAGGGTTTAGCATAGGGGCCTTAATAATAATTACCAATACCAATTTAGGGGTTCGTTATTGTGAATATGGTACAATATACCGCCAAAACCATGTTCTAAGTCTTAAGGCCCCTACAGTAGGCGCTTCTTCGGTAAATGCTGCATGGCATTAGTTTGACCTAGCGCACACAGGGCCGCCTGTTCCTTTTGAACATGAGAATAGGTACTACAAATGATGGGGAGCGAAAGAATATAGGGGCCTAAATAATTACCAAAACTGTTGTGGGGGTTCCAACCTAAAACTTGAACTATCTTAAACCCTAAACCCTAATCCTGGAAGCTGCAACTTCGCGTGGAGCTTCTGAGAGGTGCTGCAGATCAATGCGCCCTTCTTTGAGGACCGACATAGGTGGAAGAGCATATGAAACCGGGGACCTGGTTTAGGCAAAACTCCAAGACACTTACCAGCGCCAGGAGCACCAGATGGAAGCCTTTTTTTGGGGGACTGTGACGGTTGGGGCCGCGGCTCTTGCGCTGCGGCCCGATTCCCGCAGAGCGAAGCCTCATGCGCTAGAAAAGTTTAAGTCTTGTGATGGGGTGTCCGAACGGCTCAACAGATGATGAGTCGTTGCTTTCCTCTGATCGATGTATGTCGTTGGAGGACAGCACGTAAAAGTATATAGCCAGTGAGTGCTGTGTGCGGCAACGCTGGCGAGCCTCCCGCGTAGGCCTGCATGCTTGGCACGTCCACCTGCTTTTGCTCCAGGAGTCTCGGAGTCTCTGGGTTGGGCACTCCAGGCAGACTTTGGGATTGGGCACTCCAGAGACTCTGGAGTTGGGCAGTCTTGTGGTTGGGCACTCCAGGAGTGTCTGGGTTGGGCCCTCCAGGGGTCGGGCCCCAGAGAGTCTCTGAGGTTGGGCACTCCAGGGAATCTGGGAGCAGACCGGGCGAGGAGAAGGGTTGAGTTTAACAAACATCTAACGACCCCACACCGAAGGTGGGGAACTCCCAGAGTCCCTGGAGCCAACCTCCTGGAGTGCCAACCTCCTGGAGTGCCCAACCCCAAAGCCATATGAGAGAGTGTTTGAAGTGCTGACCCCCAACCCAGAGACTCCCTGGAGTGCCCAACAGCAGAGACTCCCTGGAGTGCCCAACCCAGAGACCCTCTGGATTGCCCACCTTCGGAGTGCTTAAAGAGTCTACTGGAGTGCCCAACCCCAGAGTCTCCCTGGAGTACCCAACCCCAGAGACTCCCTGGAGTGCCCAACGGAGCCAATCCCAGTTGCAAGCACGTATTAAGAAAGCGTATTTGAATCAATGTGGCTTTGTTTGAACATCTTATTTGCGCTCTTTCCTCTTAACGAGGAGCAAGGTGGGCATGTTCGAAGTAAAATAATGTTCTTTTGTGTTTGGGTGATGTCGGATCTTGTGGAATGACAGAGAGGTAGATCAAGTTCTTCTAGAACCGTGGGGTCAGTCACAAGAGCAGCGCCTGGATGTCATCACGTTTTGCAAGCGGGTAAATGTAGGGTTTAGGGTTTAGGGTTTAGGTTTTAGGGTTTAGGTTTTAGGGTTTAGGGTTTATAGAAATTGTATAGGGTTTGGGCCCCAATAAGTTTTGAACGAAAGTTTTGAACGAAAGTTTTGAACGACAGTTTTGAACGAACGTTTTGTTTTTTGGAACTATGTTTTTCATTTGGGGGAAGGGGGGAGAGGGGGGGGGGGGCAGGGGCGGCAATTTTGAGCTCTGGGAATTAAGTTTGGGCTCCGAAAGCCAATTTTGGGCTTGGGGAGCAAATTTTGGGCTTTGGGGGCCAATTTTGGGCTTGGGACAGCCAATTTTGGGCTTTGGACCATTTTGGGCTTTGGAAGCCAATTTTCGGCTTTGGAAGCCTTTGGGCGCCTATTTTGGCCTCTCTGAGCCAATTTTGGGCTCCGGAAGCAATTTTGGGCTTGGGGAGCAAATTTTGGCTTTGGGGGCCGCTTTGGAGCCAATTTTCGGCGTTGGGAGCCAATTTTGGCTTTGGGGGCTAATTTTGGGTTTTTTGCTTTTATTTTTGGCTTTGGGAGCGGGAGCCAATTTTGAGCTTTGGAAGCCAGTTTCGGGCTTGGGGAGCCAGTTTCGGGCTTTGGGATTTTGGGCTTTGGGAGCCGATTTGTTTAGGAGCCAATTTTGGGCTTTGGAATTTTGGGAGCCTATTTTCTATTTTGGGGAGGCTTTTCCAGCCCCTTCGAATTTGCCCGCAACCGCTTCCGGGGGAGCCATGTCAGGCCCTTAAATTGCTTCATGCTCTCCAGGCTAGATCTTTTCGGGCTCCTCCAAGCCCCTGTGCAGTCGGGTCTGTGTGAAATGCTTTATAAAAATTGTATAGGGTTTGGGTCCCGATAACTTTTTGAACGAAACGTTTTGAACGAAACGTTTTTTTTTTGGAACGGGGGTCGGGGGTAAAGGGGGCGGGAGGAGACCGGGGTGGAGGGGGGGGAGGGGGGGCGCCATGCACATGTCTGCGTCCCCAACCTGCCAGTGCAAGGCCTTGGGGGTGGGGGGGAAGGGGGCAGGGAGGGGAAACTGGGAGATCTGGGGGAGATTTGGAGAGATCTGGAACGGTCCTGGGCAGGGGGAGATTTCGGAAAGATCTGTGGGCCGGAGGGGGGAGGGGGGCGGGGAGGGGGGAGGGAGGAGGGGAGGGGGGAGGGGGTTTGAGTGAATTGAGCATTTGGCCTCTAGAGAGATGCGTTTTGGATTAATATACCTAAACTCAGCTTGTCAGCTGTTTAGCAACAATCTTGGGAAATTCAGAATGACCCCACATACAATTTTTATTTATTTTGTCTTGAGAGATGTTCCATTGTTTTTTGGTTTTGTTTGGTGTTTATTGGTTTTTATTGGTTTTCTATTGGTTTTTATTGGTTGTTTATTGGTTTTCTATTGGTTTTCTACTGTTTTTTTGTTTTGTATTGGTTTCTGTTGGTTTTCTATTGTTTTTTTCGGCTTTCTATGGCTTTTTATTGGTTTTTATTGGTTTTCTATTGGTGTTTATTGGTTTTCTATCGGTGTTTATTGGTTTTCTAGTGGTGTTTATTGGCTTTCTATTGGTTTTCTATTGGTTTTCTATTGGTTTTCTATTGGTGTTTATTGGTTTTCTATTGGTTTTTATTGGTCTTCTATTGGTTCTTATCTTTCTATTGGTTTTCTATTGGTTCTATTGGGTTTATAGGTTTCCTATTGGTTTTTTTGGTTTTCTAATGGTCTTCTATTGGTTTTTGTAGGTTTTCTATTGGTTTTTATAGGTTTTCTATTGGTTTTTATTGGTTTCCTATTGGTTTCCTAATGATTTTCAATTGGTTTTACTGGTTTTCTATTGGTTTTCTATTGGTTTCTATGGGTTTTCTATTTCTTGTCAATCGATTTATATAGGGTATGATCGTATAGATCGTAAATATTTAGGGTCAAAACAACTGCAATAACAACACGTGTGCAAAAAGAAACGTAGTAGAAAAAGGTAGTAGGGACTTTCTGCTCTTAGAAAAGAAGGAGGCTACGCGTCCAATATTTTTCGTTGTTGCTTGTGGGTATCAATCCTAAACTCTAACCCCCAAACCCTAAATTCTAGGGTTTAGTCAAGTCTAAGCATTCACTAATCCCATACCATGACAGAAGATATTGACATGTTTCGCACAAACACAGGCACACACAACCCAGACGCTGCCCTGAACACAAGGCCTTGAACCCTACACCCTGATTCTTTTGCCTAACCCGAGGACCCGAAACCCTAGTTAAAGGACCTTGCCCGCTTTTTATATGACCTTGTATGACCTTGCCCAAGGTCATGTAAAGAGAGGGCGCGGCCCTACAAAGAGCGGGCAAAAGCAGGGTCACGTATAGATTGGGTAAGGTCATGAACAGATTGGGCAAGGTCATGGGTCAGCCGACGGACCTTGCCCATTGATTTTATGGCTCTTTATATGACTTTGCCTACTGTTTATATGACCTTGCGCCCTCTGTATGCATGACTTTGCACGCAATGTCATGAACATTGACATTAGAAAAGATGAGAGGTTTAGGGTTTAGGTTGGATAGCACTTGAGTCTTCATGTTAGGTTCGAGTAAGCGGAAGCCAATGCCGAAGAACAGGGCGCGTTCGATCTAGAATCTTTGAGCTAGTATGTAAGAGCCCATCGACATGCAAATAAGGCTAGGATCGTCAAGACGTCAGCAGTGCAGATAGCCCACCACCATCCCACAAAGAAGATATACAGATGAGCGGAATTCTTGTTCAGAAAAAAAGAGAAACCAAATTTGAAACAATGATTCGGCCTTGTATTGGGTTTGTGGCGCGTTGCTTTTTCGGAAAAGCAATGTTTTCCTTAGCGGGGGGGAGGCGTCTCCGGCGGGGGGGCGCAGCCCCCCCTCCGGAGAATCCGGTTTAGCCCTAAACCCTAAACCCTAAACCCTAAACCCTAAACCCTAAACCCTAAACCCTAAACCCTAAACCCTAAACCCTAAACCCTAAACCCTAAACCCTCAACCCTAAACCCTAAACCCTAAACCCTAAACCCCGGTTTAGGGTTTAGGGTTTAGGGTTTAGGGTTTTCGCTGCGAGTGCGCTTCGACCCCCTCCATGAAGTGGTTGGGGGTCGGCGCATGAGCTGCAATGCCCCCCCTCCCACCCAAAATACAAACCTTGGACGGGTTTAGGGTTGTCTACCCCCCTACCCCCCTATCAAGGGGGGATATATGGTTTGGTGGAGCAGGAACAGTCGTTTATCAGCCTTGAGAAAATCATGAGAAGACCTTTGGTTTCAGCAAGAGCAGCTATCTGCAGCCTCGACTCGGTTCCATTCTGCAGCCTCGTTGGCCGGCATGATATGGTGCTTCCGCATATACGCCATTATCTTTGTGGGGAAGTCGACAATTCCCAGAAACTTGGCCGGCCAAGGGATCCCGCGCTGACACAAGCGCGCTGGCTGCAGGTGCCTAGCCATCAACCCAGTCGGGCAGGTGCCAGCGCAGCAGCGCCCAGTTTCTTCTGCCAGCTCCATGACTTTGCCTGGGCGTGCAGCATTTTGTCAAGAACTGCAACACCTATAGACTATAGAGTCAAGGCGATGGTTAAGTTTCTGGCTCCAACATCTCAGACAAGGGTCAAGATTGAATAGCCAAAATTTGCTTAAATACATCCGAAGGGCCACGAGCACGCGTAGATCTGACAAGAGAGGCACAGCTGATGCGGGACACGAGCTATCCAAGATTTGAGCCGACGCGCAGCAGCAATATCTGCAAGCTGTTGCGATGAATACAAGCAGAAGGCTTAGGAAAACAAGCTGAGACCTACCAAGCTGCCATCGTCTCGATCGTGGCCTAGGTATAATCGCAGAACAGCGTGCAAGAAGCTGTATTTGTTGCCACGTCCGACTCTGTGCTGTGGCAAGTGAAACCCAGCTGCTGTGAGTGTAGACGAAGACTTGTCTAGAACTTCTGTCGCACCGAACAAAACGCCTGTATGCGCGTGGCGCCGACATCTTGCCACATAGATTCTGCACGCGTGATGCCCTAAGCAAAAGTAGAACTGCGCTGACCAGGGCCTCACTTCGCTGGAGTGAAATGATGCTGTGTCAAGATGCCAGCCAGCAGGAAGTCCTTGTAGTAGCCGACCCTGCTGATGGCAGTGTAGGCCGCAGCAGGCACCTTCGGGGCATCCAAGTAGACGACAACATGGGGCAGCTCCGCGCCTTGGAATTTGATGATAGTGGACGCGTAGCCCGGCCGGACGGGGTAGTAGACCAAGCCACCTCTTTCCGGGTCGGTCCACGGCCAGATGCTGACCACAAAGCCAGTCGTGGTGCGCACCAGGAGGCCACCCGTATTGTCGTCGTACTTCAGCACCGTCGCCTCCATGCCGTTGACGAAGTCGACATCCTTCCGCACGTTGCGGGTCAAATATACCCGCATGCCCTTGTAGACAGGCATAGTGGAGGGCTGCAGCTCTGCAGGTGGCTTCAGCTTGCCTTGCACATAGTTCTCAGGATTGGAGTCCACGTCAGCTGGCAAAGTCGCAATCGGAGGGTACTTCGGGAAGAGGGCCTTCAAGGCAGTTCCGTTGACCACAGCAGCGCCCCGCCTGGTGCACGTCAGGATGGTCGTGTTGGGCTTGGATTTGAGGAGCTTCTGGAGTCCCTTCACCGTCGGCCGGCCCGGCGGCCGCCACGCCATCTTCTTACGGAGCTGCCGGAGCAGCTTGGCATTTGGCTTGCCGGTCCTGAGGGTTGCCAGCAGCTTGGCGTGCACCTTGTCCTTGCAGCGGTACATTTTGTGGAGGGCCACGCGGTAGCACATGGTGTTCCACAGGCGCGAATGCCACGGGCGCTTGTCCCCCATGCCGGGCATCTGGTACCGATCACCCAGCAGCGCGAGGGCCGGCGTGCGCTCTGCCGCTGCCCACAAGCGCAAGATCCTGTCGAAGTTGACCATGTCCAGCTGCGAGAGCTCGTCCACGACGATGAGGGAGTACATGCCCAACAGGGACGCCTCGCCGTGCTCCGCAGACTCATGCAGGCCGAACGCCGCATGGCAGGTGTCGATGTCGATCTTGTGGCCGTAGCGGGCCTTCATGCGACTGGCCAACTGGGCGGTCGGCAACGCCATCAAGACCCTGCCGCCCTTGGCCAGGGCACGGTCGATGCAAGAGAAGACCACGGTGGTCTTGCCGGTCCCGGGTGGTCCCAGGCACACATTGGCCTTGCTGTCCCTCGCCTCTTGTCGCAGACGGTCCGCCTCGCCGTCGTCCTCTGCGTCCTCGATGGCCAGCGCTCTGTCCACTGCAGTGTCGACGAGCCTCGGTAAGCCAGACAAGTATATATAAGTGCACGCATGTGTGTGGACGTAAACTTACACAAGACACCTCGCCAGATTTTTGACGCAGACAAAGGCGCGGAGTTGCTGCCTGTTGAACTTGCTGGCGTCCACGGGGCCTGCCTTCTTCTTGGGGGTCTTCGTTTTGCTGCGGCACTTCTCCTGGGTTTGCTGATCCTTCCGGGCATCCAGAGAGCCATCAAGGTATTCCTGGAGCAAGCCGCGGTGCGCACGGATCATGGCCAGGATGGTGTCCACGTGGTCCTTGGTGTGTGCCTCCATCTTCAACTCCGAGCGGCCGGCCACATGGCTTGCGCTACTGGGTGCTCGCAGAGGATGGCCATGGCGAAGTACTTGTGTGCCTCCGGGAGCCGTTGGGCGACGTGATCTGGCACGTAGAAATCAGTGGCTGTCTCGAAGGGAACATGAAGCATGAGCCACTGGCCAAAGTAGCGGTCGTTGAACTTGGAAACCGTCTCGGCGGCCACGACTTTCTCGCCTTGCATCACGTAGTTCGCGGCAAAGTCCTCCAGGGTGGCGCCGCTGCCAGACTGCACGTGTTTCTTCCTGAGCCAGTGACAGATCTTGCCCTCGTCCGTGGTCTTGCGCAAGTAATCGAGCAAGCTGATGCGGCCGCGAGCCCATTCCGCCTGCTCGTACAGCTCCACCTCGCGGAGCTTGGGCTCCTGGTCTGGGTAAGGCGCCACCACGTCGCGCTTGCCGCCGCTCTGCGTGGAGAGGTGCCACTGGCGGAACTTGGCGCCGAAGAGCTGCAGCACCATCTCGGGCTCCAGCGGCCGGTAGCGCATGAGGACGGTCGCGGCGATGCTCATGGCGTCGGCGTCATCGTTGAGCCACTCCTCGCTGGCCGCGTCCGAGAACTTGCTGACGTATTTGGTGACATAGGCGCGGAGCAGGCCGTCGTCGTCGCACATCTGGAAGTCTTGGTGGCAGCGGAGCACCTCCATGAGATCAACGAGGTAGGGGCGCAGGCCTTCCGCATGGTCGTCCTCCGTGTGTTGCAGGAGCCACGTGCCCGCGTCACGATCGAAGCAAGTCGGTTCTTCGTGGACAGGCCAGCCGCTCTTCTTGTCCCGGTCGTACTGGCTGCCTTCGACATAGCCACGAAGGTCCGCGTCTTCGGGCAAAGTGGCAGACACGGTCTCGGCCAAATCTAGCTGCTCCACGTCTTCAGGCTTCACGAAGATGACGACGTGCACGTGGACTCGGCCCGAGCCGTGGTAGTCCTGCGTGGCTGCCTTGCGAGTGCCATCCTGATATTCCAGGCGCATGAAGAAGTGCAGGCGGCGGGCCTGGCCCTGCCCATCAACAACGCGGAAGATGTTGCTCTTCCACGCTTTGCGCCCGTGTCCCCCCGTCTGCCCCAGCAGCAAGCCTTTCACGGCCTGGACCATGACGTGCACCATGTGCAGCGTCTCCGCCGCCGGCAGGAAGAGGCGCTCCTTGAGCATCTTCTGCATCTCATCGCGGACCCACTCGTGGTAGGGGAAGCTCCATTCGTAGGGGGCAATGGTGAAGAAGACGCGAGGGTAGCCGACCTGCCGCACCATGTCCAGCAAGGCGTAGTGCACTCCACGCCAATAGTGAGGGCTGAAGGCCTCGCCCTTGAGCATGAGGCGCATGGGCGTCGGCAGCTGCAGATTCTTCTTGGAACCGATGCTGCTCCAGAGGTTGAGGTCATAAACAAACTGGAGAAGCTCGAAGTTCGCAGCGTAGCCCAGCAGACGACCCAACGCCAAGGCAGCAAAGAGACGTTTCATGCTGTGGCGTGTGGCGTCATTTGCTTCTGCGTCCTCCGCATCTGCCACCTGGCTCTCCTCTTCGCTGTCGTCGTTGCCCTCAACCTCCTCATCGCTGTCTGCAGCAGGAAAGGCTGCACGCCCAGCGGGCCGACCGGCATTCAGCACGTCCTCCAAGGTGGCTGCCCGCTCCTGCCGAATCACCCGCCTGGGATCCGTGGCACGCTCGTGAGTGAAGGTGCGCTTCACATCCCAGAACAAACCAGGCCAGAGGGCGCACTCCACGCCGACACGTTCAATGAATTGCAGCCGGCGACGGCGAGTGAGCTCGTCGGCGCCGGGGTGTTCTTCCAGAAACTCCGCATGCTCGGCCACAAAGGTCGCATAGGGTGTGTCATCCGAGGCCATCAAGAAGTCGTAAGCTGCGCGGGCCTTCGTCCGCATGTTCACGTCCTGGCTATGTCAGCGAGCAAATGCGTTGCTGAAAATATCGACTTGTAAGTAGTACTTTAGGAAACCTGTGTAGTCTACGCCTGGCCTGCAGGTGCTTGATGCGCTTCTTCACTGTAGTCGTTTGCCAGCGGACATCGATCTCCAAGGGCGACAATGCCTGCGCAGCCTCTGCAGACAGCTCCCGCAGAACCTCTGGCACATCAGCCAGCGTCACCACCGGCTGCACGCGCGCAGCTTTGCATCTGGAGCACTTGCCTGAAGGATTGGTGGGTGGCTGGGGCTTGTTGAGCGTGCTCTCGGTGAGGTCGCGAGGCGCGAGGAGGCCGCAGTTCTCGCACATGCTCCAGGAGTCGAAAAGGCACCAACGCTCGAAGTCCTCGGCCAGCCGGCGGCGCTTCGCCGGGGGCAACCCAGTGGTATTCTCGACGGCCTCGCCAGCTGGCGTTCTCTTTGAAGGCTGGCCCATACGGCGCCGTGCCCGAGCCCTGTCTGCCAGAACCTGCTCTCGATATTTCTTCTTTGTCGCAGCCGACGCCGGGGCTGCAGCTGTCTGCCGCGATGCCAGGGCACCTCTCCACAAGACGGGCAGCGGGCGTCGGCCGCCCCGCCCAGCCGCGCGCTTGGGCGCCGGACCCTGCAGCTGCGCTTGAAAATATTCCACCGCGTCGGGCGGCAGGCGCTCTTCCAAAGCACGGGCGCGGGCAGCCACTGACAAGCGCCGGAGCTTGCCCAGCACCTGTGTGTGCATATGCGCTCATGTTCTGCTCTATGCTACAAATATTGCGCAGAACAGAACGAAAGAGACTTTGTCGGGTGGCCCCGCCTCTCGCTTGCCAGCTTCCTCCGCGCACAATGGCCACAGATCTTCAGGTCGACAGAATAGGCAGCGTGCGCTGCGACCCATCACCTGAGCTGGGCCTCCGCGTGCTGCAAGAGCAAAGGTGCAGCGCTCGCCGTTCATGCCCACGCACACCCATGGCTTGGCCAGCTCTGCCTCGAAGTAGCCACGGAAGTCCTCCGGCACCCGCTCCAAGGCAAGGCGTTGGTACTCGGGCGTCAAGGCCAACAGCAAGCGCTTGATGTGTCCACGCGACCGTGGCTGAGCACAGGCCGCGGCCAAACGATCTGGATTACCACAGAAGACCTCAGGCAGCAACGCAGCTTGGTTAAAAATGCATGCCTCTTTTGCAACTTCTTGCTTGCGCAGACAGTTCTACAGCAGTTCATCTCTGCCATCAAGGCGCGCATGCAGGAAATGCACCTCGCTGCGCTGCACGGCCTGGGCTTTGCGCCGAGAAGCAACAAGGAGAAGCCGCTGTGCCAGGACACACGGAGGGCATGGCTCTGAAAAGTGGAAAACTCCTGAGATCGACGAAGTATGCACAAGAACTCGAGCCAGGGCAGAGCGAGAACACAAATCAAACCTGTTCCTCCAATCAGCAGGCTAGACTGCAGCGCAGGGCGTGACAAGGCACGGGCACACAGTCGCTTTTTTGCGTCTGATCGGGAGCACGTTGAGGTGTGTGGTGCTGTACAGTGGGCTGCGCCTGTGCTGGTCTTGTGCGAGCACGCAGCCATCCTCATCGGGCCAGCTGCGGAGAAACGCTTTCAGGGGCAGCTTGTAAAACGGTACACCTGGAGGGTATTTGCCCTTCGCCTTGCCATCCTTGGCGATGTGCTTGCCTGTCGATTTCCGTGGGACCCACTTGCCCATGGCTGCTGCAAGTCAATGACCTAAAACTGGACTACTAAAGCTGGAAGCTCTCACTTTTGCGCAGCACAGCTATCGGAACGGCCCCACGCTGCTGCTGAATTCAGTAAAGTCACCAAGCGTGGCAATGATTTTTCTCAGTTGCGCGCGAACAAAGTCATGCGGCAGCAGACCACAGTCATGTGGCAGCAGTGGGGATCGTATTCTGCTGCGCTTGAAATTCTGGGTCACGTATGGACTAGCAGTCTCGAACGAGCCCTCCAAGGATTCAATGCAATGTTGTTATTTTGAAGAAAAAGCAAAGCTTGCAGACCGGCAGCCCAAGTTGCAGCTGCACCCATCAATCTATTTGTCTTCATTGTCCTCGACTCGAAGCAGCCCTTCCCAAAGTCCAGGTCTTGAACAAGCCCTCCAGGTAGTCCTCCTTCTTCGCCCCATGATAGGCTGGTGCTTCATTCCAGCGTCCGCGCGCAGACAAAGGATGCAATGCAACGCTGTTATTTACAAGAAAGAGCAAAGCCTTGCTGAGACCAGGTCACCCCGCGCCCGAATCACCTCAAGAATGGATCACCCCAACGACTGGGTCACCTCAGAGCTGGGCATGCCAGAACTGAGTCACCCCAGCATTGGGTCACTCCAAAAGCTTGAGTCACTTCAGGATTGGGTCGCCCAGCCTTGTCTGCAGCCGAAAGGTGCTTTGCCCAAGCGTTCTATTTATCTTGAATGTCCTCGATTCGAACGAGCCCTTCACAAAGTCCAGGATTTGAACGAGCCCTTCAGCAGGAAGTCCTCCTTCTTCGCCCCGTGATAGACTGGCCTGGCAGACAAGGGGTTCAATGCTGTTATGCTTTAAAACGAAAACACAATGTCTTGCTAAGATCAGCACCCGAAGTTGCACACATCAATCTATTTGTCTTCAATGTCCTCGACTCGAACCAGCCCTTCACAAAGTCCAGGTCTTGAACGAGCCAGTCCTCCTTCTTTGTCCCCGGGATAAGCAAACTGGCCCTCCAGGAAGTCCTCCTTCTTTGTCCCCGGGAGAAACAAACTGGCCCTTCAGGAAGTCCTCCTTCTTTGTCCCCGGGATAAGCAAATTGGCCCTCCAGGAAGTCCTCCTTCTTTGTCCGGCCCTCCAGGAAGTCCTCCTTCTTTGTCCCCGGGAGAAACAAACTGGCCCTCCAGGAAGTCCTCCTTCTTTGTCCCCGGGATAAGCAAATTGGCCCTCCAGGAAGTCCTCCTTCTTTGTCTCCGGGAAAAGCAAACTGGCCCTCCAGGAAGTCCTCCTTCTTTGTCCCCGGGACAAGCAAACTGGCCCTCCAGGAAGTCCAAGAAGTCTTCCTTCTTTATTGCCGGGAGAAGCAAACTTGCCCTCCAGGAAGTCCTCCTTCTTCGTCCCCGGGAAAAGCAAACTGGCCCTCCAGGAAGTCCTCCTTCTTTGTTTTCAAGATAAGCAAACTGGCCCTCCAGGAAGTCCTCCTTCTTTGTCCCCGGGACAAACAAACTGGCCCTCCAGGAAGTCCTCCTTCTTTGTCCCCGGGAAAAGCAAACTGGCCCTCCAGGAAGTCCTCCTTCTTTGTCCCCGGGAAAAGCAAACTGGCCCTCCAGGAAGTCCTCCTTCTTTGTCCCCGTGAGAAGCAAAATGGCCCTCCAGGAAGTCCTCCTTCTTTGTCCCGGGACAACCAAACTGGCCCTTCAGGAAGTCCTCCTTCTTTGTCCCCGGGACAAGCAAACTGGCCCTCCAGGAAGTCCTCCTTCTTTGTCCCCGGATAAGCAAACTGGCCCTCCAGGAAGTACTCCTTCTTTGTCCCCGGGAAAAGCAAACTGGCCCTCCAGGAAGTCCTCCTTCTTTATCCCCGGATAAGCAAACTGGCAGTCCAGGAAGTCCTCCTTCTTTGTCCCCGGCATAAGCAAACTGGCACTCCAGTAAGTCGACAAGCAAACTGGCCCTCCAGGAAGTCCTCCTTCTTTGTCCCCGGGATAAGCAAACTGGCCCTCCAGGAAGTCCTCCTTCTTTGTCCCAGTGACAAGCAAACTGGCCCTCCAGGAAGTCCTCCTTCTTTGTCCCCGGGATAAGCAAATTGGCCCTCCACAAAGTCCTCCTTCTTTGTCCCCGTGACAAGCAAACTGGCCCTCCAGGAAGTCCTCTTTCTTTGTCCCCGGAAAAGCAAACTGGCCCTCCAGGAAGTCCTCCTTCTTTGTCCCCGGAACCTTTAATAAGTCCTCCTTCTTTGTCCCCGGGATAAGCAAACTGGCCCTCCTTCTTTGTCCCGTCATAAGCAAACTGCCCCTCCAGAAAGTCCTCCTTCTTGGCCCCTGGGATACGCAAACTGGCCCTCCAGGAAGTCCTCCTTCTTTGTCCCCGGGATAAGCAAACTGGCCTTTTGGAAGTCCTCCGTCGTTATCCCTGGGATAAGCGAACTGGCCCTTCAGCAAGTCCTCCCTCTTTGTTGCGGGAAAAGCAAACTGGCCCTCCAGGAAATCCTCCTTCTTTGTCCCCCGGATAAGCAAACTGGCCCTCCAGGAAGTCCTCCTTCTTCTCCCGGGATAAGCAAACTGGCCCTCCAAGAAAGCCTCCTTCTTTCCCCCGTGGGATAAGCAAATTGGCCCTCCAGGAAGTCCTCCCAGGAAGTCCTCCTTCTTTGTCCCCGGATAGGCAAACTGGCCCAGGAAGTTCTCCTTCTTTGTGCCCAGGATAAGCAAATTGGCCCTCCAGGAATGGCCCTCCAGGAAGGCCTCCTTCTTTGTCCCGGGAAAGCAAACTGGCCATCCAGGAAGTCCTCCTTCTCTGTCCCCCGGGACAAGCCAATTGGCCCTCCAGGAAGTCCTCCTTCTGGATAAGCAAACTTGTTTCCAGGAAGTCCTCCTTCTTTGTCCCCGGGATAAGCAAATTGGCCCTCCAGGAAATCCTCCTTCTTTGTCCCCGGGATAAGTCCTCCTTCTTTGTCCCCGGGATGCAAGTCCTCCTTCTTTGTCTCCGACTGGCTCTCCAAAACATCCTCCTTCTTTCCCACCATGCTTTGTCCCGCAGCAATCCTCCTTCGGATAAGCAAACGGGCCCAGGAAGTCCTCCTTCCTTGTCCTCGAAAAAGCAAACCTCTCATTCCGGGCCTTAATTTCAAGTCCTCGCCTAGGGGGCGGTTTTCAAGCCTGCCCGGTCGTTTGCAGCTGGGTTTAGGGCTATCATTATATAGGCTGACAGAAGCGGCCTATTCGAGCGCCGCGTGGACCTGAGGTCCAGGACCCTACGGCTCGCCTTTCGGCCTTCGCCTACGGGTCCGCAGGCCCCTGCCGGTGGCCTGCTAACGACCGGCCCCTATCGCTGGAAAGGGGGCCGGTCTTCAGTTTAGGGTTTAGGGTTTAGGGTTTAGGGTTTAGGGTTTAGGGTTTAGGGTTTAGGGTTTAGGGTTTAGGGTTTAGGGTTTAGGGTTTAGGGTTTAGGGTTTAGGGTTTAGGGTTTAGGGTTTAGGGTTTAGGGTTTAGGGTTTAGGGTTTAGGGTTTAGGGTTTAGGGTTTAGGGTTTAGGGTTTAGGGTTTAGGGTTTAGGGTTTAGGGTTTAGGGTTTAGGGTTTAGGGTTTAGGGTTTAGGGTTTAGGGTTTAGGGTTTAGGGTTTAGGGTTCAGCAGCTCTGGGTCGAGCAATCTCTAGTAGAGCCGCTGTCTGGACTCTAGAAAAAAACCCACCCACCCAGAGAATCCCAAAACATTAAGAAATATAAAGTTCTCATTTTCCTCAGCAAGCCCTGTCCTCCAACCTCATTTATTCATTCTGCTCGTGTTCTTTGTCATTCTGCTTGGTTTCCATTCTGCTCGTATGCGTTTCTTTCTGCTCGTATTCATTCTGCTCGAATTCGTTTTTTTTCTGATCTGCTCGTCTCGTGTTCGTTCTCGTTCTGCTCGTATTCATTCTGCTCGTATTCGTTCTCTCTCTGCTCGATTTCAGTCCGCTCGTTTTCGTTGTTTTTCTTCTCGTATTCATTCTGTTCGTATTCGTTCTCTCTCTCTGCTCGATTTCAGTCTGCTCGTCTTCGTTCTCTCTCTGCTCGTAATCATTCTGCTCGTATTCGTTCTCTTTCTGCTCATATTCATTTTGCTCGTGTTCGTTCTCTTTCTGCTCGTATTCGTGCTTTTTCTGCTCGTATTCGTTCTCTCTCTGCTCGATTTCAGTCCGCTCGTTTTCGCTGTCTTTCTGCTCGTACTGAGTCTGCTCGTACTCGTTCTCTTCTGCTCGTATTCATTCTGCTCGTATTCGTTCTCTCTCTGCTCGACGTCAGTCTACTCGTATTCGTTCTCTTTCTGCTCATATTCACTTTGCTCGTGTTCGTTTTCCCCGGTGACCCTGCCTATTTTTGGCCGTCTTGTTGGTTGTGTTTGGCACACTTTAAGCTGCCTGGCTTCCACATGGTTTCTTTCCAATTAGTGCCCCGGTGACCTCGCCTCATGTTGGCTCCTGCTCGTAGGGTTTGATGAGAGGCCTAGAGGTTTGTCGTATGTCCCCTCTCTTCGTGCTCGTAGGGTTTGTCGTATGTCCCTCCCTTCATGCTCGTAGGGTTTGATGAGAGGTCTACAGGTTTGTCGCACGTCCCCTCCCTTCGTGCTGTTAGAGTTTGTCGTATGTCGCCTCCCTTCGTGCTCGTCGGCTTTGTCGTGTGTCCCTCTTCGTCTGCTTGCAAAGAATCCCAAGAATTCAGAAACTGAGATTTTATTCTCAGAGGTTTGTCGTATGTCCCCTCCCTTCGTGCTCGTAGGGTTTGTCGTATGTCCCCTCCCTTCGTGCTCGTATGGTTTGATGAGAGGTCTACAGGTTTGTCGTACGTCCCCTCCCTTCGTGTTCTTAGGGTTTGTCGTATGTCCCCTCCCTTCGTGCTCGTCGGCTTTGTCGCATGTCCCTTGTCTTCGCGCTTGCTTTCCCAGACCGAAGGTAGAACCAAAAGTGTTGGTCCGGATTGACAAAAAAACCCTAATTTTGTTAACCTAATGTTTTGTTTTCCCCCACCCCACCCTCGA